TAAGTGAGTTTATGCTGGCGAAAAAAGCTTCCATAAACTATACACTTTTTCTTTAAAAAAAAGTTAAATAAATATTTGTTTATTAAGTTGGTTACATTTTAAATGGGTAAACAAAAAAATCCAATTTAGCGCAAATAAAATAAAAAAATATTTTTATCTTGAATACCTAACATTTGTGTGTGTATGTGTGTGTGTGTTGTGTGTTGTCTGCGTGTCTGTGTGTGTATGATAACATTCTATTTATATCTTATATGTTGTTAGCACATAATATAAGCTTCTAACTAAAAATTATTTTAACAAGAAATCTCAAATAGAATATAAAAAATATGATACCATTTTTTAATATTTTATTCAAAGCGATATCCAGATCAAATATTTTCTATAAATACACAAGTTATTTTTAGGAAAGTTATATAATAGTTGCAGCTTTTTTCGTAAATCGTTGAAGCCAAATTTTTTTGCGTATATGACGTCAGATAAGGGCAAAATACTAGAAAAAAAACAAACTAGAAATAAAACTTTATTTAATTTTTTTAGAAAAAATCCTTTTTATTTGGCTTGACTTTTAGATTAGTGTTCTATAGCTATGTCTATAGTTTTTAATGGTCTAAGATCTTCTTAGTTCTGTCATTTGTACATCGTTATGTACAAAAGTCAGTAGGTGTAAACGTTTTTAGCATATGTTTACCTCCGTTCTCAGATTCGCATTTATTAAACTGAATTTCGATTGCCTCTTGAACTTTTCTTTCAATTTTTTCTACTTTTAATGATTTTACTTGATCCAATTTTATATTCCATGGACATTTAATTTTATGATGCCCAATTGCAGATTGTTCTATTTTTTTCATAAACATTTTTTTGGTATTGTTTTGTCCTTGTTGCTATTTTCATTTTTGGTTTTGCCAATGTATTTTTTTTTACACTTGCATTCTATTAGGTATACTCCGGGATAGCTATTTGATGGTAGTTTTACATTGTTGGGTTAAGCGAGCAAAGATTTAAGATTGCACTAGACTTAAAGACTGCCCTGTAACCTGCTTTCCTGAAGTACTTTCAAAGTTTTGGTGATAATATTGGGATCCACGGTAGTGATATAGTTGGCATGGTTGCTTCGTTGTTAGATAAGACTATTTTATTATTTGAGTGACGTTCTTTTATAACAATATTTGCAAGATTTTGTAATTTTTTTGAATTATGTTAAAATCATAATTACCTTTTTGATTATTGGTTATTTGGATGTCTAAAAATTTAATCTTTTGTTCTCATCTTCCAATTCAATTGTGTATTTGATGGCATGATGTTGACTATTTAATATTTGTTGAAAACGAATGGCATTATCTTTATTTGTGAATCTTGCGTGGCTATCATCTACGTACCTCAAAAACAATTTTATTACTATTGGTGGATTAGAATGAAGTATAATGTCGATTTTTAAAAAATTGCAGGAAACCTTTCGCAAGTATTACCATGAGTGAAAGTACTATTGGACCAGAATCTATATACATATAGCAGTATTTGCTGAGCAGACAGGCTTTATAATTTTTTCAATTTGCTTTATTTATGAGTTTTAATCTGTAAAAATGTTATAATTTTTTAAATTAGTTTTAATTGTTTTTTTGATAAAATACTAACAATATTTTGTCAATAGTTAATAATAACTACCTTAAATATATAACATTACTTTGTTACAAAGATTATACCAATTTATTTATAACTTTAGTGTAAGTTCTTGATATAAATATGTTATCTTTACACATTGCTATTTTCAAACATTTATTTTAATTATGACTAAGACTAAAAGAAATTATTTTAAGTAGATTATTATTTATGTTACTTTAGATAAGTTTAAGAATAAAAACTAAAAGTTTAATCTAAAAATAAAAGTTTAACTTTAATTCTATTAAGCATCGTTTTTACTTGTTTACATTTTTACACATTACTATTCAATAATTTTTATCATTAGACTTTGTTGAAATAAAAGAAACCTGGCTAGGCAATAAGTTCAGATGAACTAAACTGTCGCACAGTGGAAAATAGTACTACAAAATTGTACCATAAATGTTTTTTGTTCAAATTTCAACTTCACTACTGAAATTTTATATATCTTTTTTTTAATAGTTTAATAGTCAATCTTTACTATAATGTAGGAATTTTACTTAATTTTTTGTAAAAAGATCATTTTTGAAGCCCTACCGTTTCATATTTTTGAAAATTTTCAATTAAACTTATTTGCTTCATAACTTTAAAAGTTATTTTCTATAAAACTTTTTATGAATACGTATAAAGTATTATTTATTTTTGAAAGCATCATGGAGATTTTAGAACAAATTCATATTTTTAATTATATGGTTTTGTTTACAATAATTAATTGAATTATAAAGTAAGAAAGTTTTAAAGTTCACTGATAATTTTGGCAGTCACCAACGCTTCCCAACGCTTTATTTTTATAATTAATTAGTAGCTTATGTGTCTATAAAAATGATTTATTAAAAATCAAGTGCGGATACATGCGGTTTATAAAATTATAGATAAAAAAGTAAAAAAAGTCAGAAAACAAAAAACCACTTTCTGTTTATAACAAAGTTTTTTTGTCCGATTTTTATTGAGAATTAATTTTGATGGATATACATTCAATTATTTTTGCATTTTGTGGTGAAAACTTTATCAGCAATTTGTGAACACTGCGTCAATTAAAAAATATTATATAAAACTGAGATACTATCAATAATTTTAAAAGAAAATTATCAAGTTTATATAAATTTAGTACATAAATAGTGTATTGCATCTATATATATATATATATATATATATATATATATATATATATATATATATATATATATATATATATATATATAAATAATATATATATATATATATATATATATATATATATATATATATATAGATGCAATACACTATTTATGTACTAAATTTATATAACCTATAGTACTAAATCTATTTGAATTAAAAATAAATATAAAGATAAAAGTATTTTGTTAACTCAAAAATAAATTTTTCACTTACAATGAAAAGTAGAGGACTTCATAACTTGTTTAGATTCTATGGCAGCAATTTTACGCCGAAGTAAATCAACTTGTTCAATAATTAGTTGATGAATATCTGGATCATCCAAATAAATACGATGCCGAGTTCGCTTTCTACTAGAGCGTGTTACATTACTTTGCTTGTCAGAAATTTTAGAAGAATTGTTACTTGGGGAATTTTCATTTAGTTTTTTAGTTGAAAGTGGATCAAAACTTTCAAGAGACTTCTTTTCTGAAACATCTTCTAATTTTGATATTAGTTTATGATCATTCTTAGATTGTTCAATAGCATCTGAAACAACTAAACTTTCATTTGACTTAACAAGTACAGGTTTACCTGGTCTCAAATTCTTTTCACTTTTAATATCTAATAACTTAAGAGCAGTTTCTGAAATATTTATTTCTTTAGATTCACGACTTAAAGACTCCTGAACATTCTGGTCAGAATCTATGACAGTTTCGTGTACTTTATCATGCACATTGCCTTCTGATGTAAAATCGATTAGCTGCTCATCAAGCAAACTATGAACATCACAGTCACTCTCCTCATTATTAGAGCCTATATAAGTTTCTATGTCTCCAGTGTAAGCAACAATTTCATCGTCGCTAGCAGATTTAGACTCTCCATCTTCAAAAGATACGTTGGCAAGAATTTTACCAGTTCTATTATCTTCAAAAATATCTAAAGAAAATAAATAAATTATAAAGTTCTTTTAAATTATAAATATTTTTAAACAGTATAATAAAAAAAAATTCAGATTCAAGAATTGAAAGCTTTATCTTAACTTTATTCATAATATTTTTATAAGAATAATTTTAAATAAGTGTATTCCTAAATTTACTAAAAAATTATTTTAAAAAAGACAAAATTTAAAAAATAATAAGTTGGTATTTTCAAGCAATGTATTTATTGTAGGATTGTTAACTACTAGGCTTTCAATGGAACACATTGCTTTAAATAAACAAAAAAATTAAAGTTGCAAAACAAATTGCAGAGTTGCATCTAGGATTTTTTGTTAATGAGTTTAATAACTTTAAGGCAAGTTCTAAACTCTAGACTTTTATAAGTCATCAATATTTAGCCAAAAATTGCGCTTTTATAAGTTTGAAAACAAGAAAACATTAGACATCACACACCAAAATGTGTGTAAGTAGGGGGGGGGGGGGAAGAGAATTATTTTTACAAAATAATAATTATAATTTCTAAATACTAAATGAAAATTTATTCTAAGATTTAAAACTACAACTTTTTGGGAAAAACAATAACCCACATTTAGATAAGTGATGTCTAATGTTTAGGGTATTTTTGTTTTTAGGCTCTAATCAACACAGTTTTAGGCAAAACATTCTTTTATGATATAAATATAAACAAAGGTTTTTAAGTTTAGAAACTACCTGTAGGTTACAAAACTTAAATACCAAAGAATCCTGGATTTGCAATAAAGGTAAACTTTGTAAGTTTTCTTAAATATTGAATCTTAAATTGAATCAGAAACATATGAGACATTTTAAGGAGGAGACAGTAAACAATCTTTATTTTTAACAAAATCAAAATCAAAACATAGCTTATTGTTAAATATTAAAAGAAAATGGAATCGTGGTTATTATAAATTGTGGCATCATATTCATATACACCAAGGAACAGAAATAGCTATCAGAGGAACATGTGATTTTACTCTAAAAGATGACATTATAACAATAAAGAGTGATTGCTTATGGCAATATTTAATATAGTTGCAATATTTAATATAGTTGCAAGATTAATGTAGTTCTCATGATAATGAAAACTATAAAATAATTAAAAAACAACATTGATGAGATACAAACATACAAAATTATCATTTAAAATGAGCTTACCAGTATATTCATGTTCACTTTCACTTTCTGAAAAAAGTAATGATTTGTTGACATCATTTTCAAATTTTGTAGCAAGTTTTTGGCTCATTTAATTAACTATGGTTTTAAAAAATAAATATTTTATTAAACTAAAAAATGAATTCCAAATTATTATAAATAGTTTATTAAACAATATAGTATATATATATATATATATATATATATATATATATATATATATATATATATATATATTTGCATTCACTCCCAACAAGGCTGCAAGCGACCACTATCAAGTTAGGAGTTACTAGGAAAAAAAAGAACAGAGTTATAGAGCAAGGAAACGGTTGACAGAAGACTTGAAAAGTTGAAGGTTGTATGAGTCAGGAAAACATGAAGATGGGAGAGAGTTCCAAAGGATTGAAGTGCGGGGAAAAAAACTAGATGAATAAAAGTTTTGAGAGCATGCAGGGACAGATACAGTAAACGAATGAGACTTAGCTGAATGGCGAGTAAAACGAGAATGAATTTTAGTTGATGGAACTAGAGATGATAACTCCTTTGAGCAGTGACCATGATAGTATTTGTAGAAAAGAGAAAGAGATGCAACTTTACGACAATGGGAAAGAGGTTCAAGCTTAGCAGATAGTCCAGGTCCAACAACATTTACAATGCGTTTTTGGACCTTGTCAAGAAGAGAAAGTGAATTGTTAGAAGAACCAGCCCAAATATGACAGCAGTATTCCATACAGGGACGAATAAGAGATTTGTAGAGGTAGAGAATGGAATCAGAAGTAAGAAAATGGCGAGCACGATAAAGAGAAGCAACCTTAGCAGAAGCTAATTTAGCAATCGATTGTATATATGGTTTCCATGAAAGGTCAGTAGTAAGCGATAATCCGAGAAGACGTAAAGAGGAGGACTCAGTAAGAGGATTGTCATTCATTAATATAGGAATGTTGACCATATTACGGTAGTTGTTTGCAGTAAGCAACTGGGTTTTTTTAGAGTTAAAATTCACAAGCCACTGTGAACCCCAATCTATTACTGAAGTGAGATCGGATTCAAGATCAGCTGCTTGTTCTAGGCAATCGAAAAGAGAAGACTTTTTGTCAAGACAGGAGTATAAAGTTGAGTCATCAGCAAAAAGAGCTACTTTAGATGAAAGGTTGTCAGGAAGATCGTTTATGTAGATAAGAAACAAAACAGAGCCCAGGATGGAACCTTGGGGAACCCCAGAAGTTACTGGAAATAAAGAAGAGTGTTGGCCTTCAAGGATGACTTTAATAAACCGGTTAGAAAGAAATGATTTGATAATCTCAAAAACTTTCCCAGACACACCATATGAAGCAAGCTTATGGAGAAGACCAGCATGCCAAACTTTGTCGAAAGCTTTAGATATGTCGAGAGCAATAGCCCTAGCCTCACCGCCTCCATCTAATGCACGATAAAATCTTTCAGTTACAGCAGTTAGCAAGTCGGCCGTAGAGCGAGAGGATCGAAAACCGTATTGATTGTCTAACAGTAGTTTATTTGACTCAAGATGAGATGTGAGGAATTTGTTGATCAAAGACTCAAAGACCTTGCTAATAACAGAAAGAAGACTGATCGGACAATAATTGGAGGGGTCAGAATTTTCTCCAGAGTTTTTGAATATTGGAACCACAGATGCCATTTTCCAACAAGCAGGAAAACAAGACTCAGTCAAACACTTGTTAAATAGTTTAGAGAGAATTGAAGAAAGTTCTGGAGAACAATTCTGCAAGACTGTGACAGGAACGCTGTCTGAACCACAAGCTGTAGACGAGTTTAAATGAGATATGACTTTAGCAACAGAAGCCGGAGTGATTTGAATGTCTAACAATGGGTCAACCTGTTTGACTGGAATGGAAGGAAGAGAATGTCCATAAGATTCAAGAGTGGAATTGGAAGAAAAGTTCTTTGCAAATAGTTCTGCCTTATCCTTGGGAGAGGTAACAAGATCAGTCCCATGAATGAGAGATGGAATGTTAGATCTACCCTTGTTAATAATGCTGTTGAAGATTTTCCAAAAGTCTTTAGAGCCTAACTTCTGTGATAAGTAGCGAGATTTAGTGAACTGAGAATAATGGAGTTAAGCATCAGAAAGCACCTTTTTACATCGATTTCTTGCAATAATAAATAGCCGTTTGTTCTCAAGAGAGATGTTCTTTTGAAAAAGATGAAAAAAATGATTACGATTAGATATAGCAGCCGCACAAGAAGGAGAAAACCATGGAGTAGAATGAGGCTTGACTTAAAACCGACGCGAAGGAATAAAAGCTTTCATTCCAGCCTGAATCCAGGAGGTTACGTAGGAGGCGCATTTGTCAGCTGAGAGAGAAAAAACATCAGCCCAAGGACCATCACGAAGAAAATCACGAAAGGAATCCCAGTCAGCTTTAGGGTAGTAGTAGGTGGTGCGATGATAAGGTGAGCCCAAAAAAGAAGTACGAGAAGAAAGATTTATAGAGATCATTGGATGGTCAGAACCACCTAAGGGAGAAAAGGGAGAAACTGAACATAAGCTAGGGTCAGAGACAAGACATAAGTCAAGGAGTGAAGGTAAATGATTAGGGTTGTCAGGAAAACGAGTCACAAAGTTAACTATCTGAGTAAGAGATTGAGAAACGCAGAAGTTAAAGGCTTTAGTGCCAGCAGGATCAGTGGTGTTAGAGCCAAGCCATTCAGCCATTAAAATCACCAACAACAACAATATTGGCAGAGGGGTAAAGAGAGAGGGCATGGTCAATTTGATCAGAGATAACATCTAAGAGAGTGCAATCATGGGAAGAAGGAGAAAGATAAAGAACAAAGAGAAAGGTGATAGAGTGAAGAGGTGCTAGGCGAAAGCACATAAAAGAATGGTCAAAGGATTCGAACCTGATTTCACGACAAATAGGGGAATTAATGCGTATGTATACCCCTAAACCTAGCATGTGACTATTAGAGTCTTTACGAATCAAAGGATAGTACCCATCAACACTGACATCTATAGAAGGAATTGCAGAATTTAAATTTGTTTCACTGAGTGCAAGCAAGTCTGGTGAATTTTGCAGGAGGTAAGACTCAACTGATGGAAAGTTGCTTCGTAGACCGCGAATATTTGTAAAAGATATAAAATATTTAGGTGGTGGGGATGGTTTTTTAGGTTTTAAATTTGAGAGCTACCACAGAGTTTGGGAAACCTTACTACCTGCTGGCCTCAGAACCATTAAACTGAGTTTTAGAGCTGTACCCTCATATGGAGATAACAGGAAGAGTTGCATAGCCATTATCAAGGAGGCATAAGCAAAATTCTATGAGTAGAGTCAAGGAGATCCAGCATTCATCATCCTAGGCAGGAAACATTGTAACACAGGTTATATCTACGCCAGCCTAATAGATGAAGAAGGGGTTCGAGGCTGGTTAGCAGAATTTTTCTGCTTACCCCTAAAGTCTTTGCCTAGGAGGTTTTCTACAAGACAGTAGCTGGATGCAGTTAACATCTGCCCAAGATGAGTATTTTTATCGAGACACCATCTCTAGCCTTTACTCAACCAAGAGCCCCAAGGCAGGGGATGTTTAGCTGGGTGCAGTTAACATCTGCCCAAGATGAGTGTTTTTATCGAGACACCATCTCTAGCCTTTACTCAACCAAGAGCCCCAAGGCAGGGGAATTTTTAGTCGGAGTTTATTTCTCCTAGCCTTTGCCTAAGAAGAGCACACTCTGCAAGGCAGCAGGGCTTGTGGCAGGTGGTACTGGGTTACGTGATACCAGTAGCAAGATTGATCTCGATTATCCTGACCTGACCTGGAGTAGTTAAAAGGAGTTACTTCCCGCAACAGTACTTTGAGAAAACCAGGCATGATATTTTGGAAGTGCATTAGGAAAACACTGCATCTAACAAAATACAGGAGTCTAAGGTGAGTGTAGGTTTTGTAGTTGGAGTAAGTAGTTAGTTACTGAGCTCACGCTGCATTAGAGTATAAACAGAACACAAACAAACATATATATATATATATATATATATATATATATATATATATATATATATATATATATATATATATATATATATATATGTATATATATATATATATATATGTATATATATATATAATATATATATATATATATATATATGTATATATATATATATATATATATATATATATATATATATATATATATATATATATATATATATATATATATATATATATATGTATATATATATATATATATATGTATATATTAGGGATGTACCGAAGCTTTGGCTTCGGCTTCGGCGTGCCGAAGCTTCGGCAATTTTGCCGAAGCTTCGGTTCGGCCGAAGCCAGGTCAATTTTTTGCCGAATCTTTGGCTTCGGCAAAAAATTTTAAGTAATTAAAGTTATAAGCTACTGTGGGACAAGTTATAAAAAAAAGCTAATTGCCAGTGTCTAATAAAGTTATAAATTTAGGACTACAGAGTTAAAGTTGGAGTCTATACCATATACTTAGTATTATTTACTCCCAAGTGTCTTGTTATGGAGGGGATAATAATAAATAAGTAAAAATATTTTGAAAAAAATAATAAAATCAGGGAAGGTCCTCATACACTTTGAAAGCTTCCAAGTGTGACTTTAGATGAACTGAAGCAGCATTTCTATGCAGAATAAAAACCTTATAATTTAAAACAAATTAAAAGTTTTTAAAACCTTAATTTGTATTATGTAACGAACTCATATTAATTATTGTGTGGGATTACCGCAAATAGAACAAAATTTGGTTTCAACATTTGACCGATAAACCCTAGTAATCTCTCTTTAAAGAAGATTAAAAATACGTTGCTACTATTTTAAGTTGTGTGTATGTTTAATTTTTTTAAATTTTATTTAACCATATTAATAAAAATTTACAAATTTTCATCGTAAATTTACAGAAATTGGTTAGGTGTCACTTATATAAATACAAAATAGTCAATGGAGTGACACATAAAAAACAAAAAATTCTCAGCAACAAAAAAGGAAGAAAAGCAAATGAAATATAAACGAGGAGAATAAAAAAAGAAAAAAAAAGCCAACAAAAACTATATAAATTAAAAGAAAAAGAAAAACAATGATAATAAATATCC